TAATTTTCCCAGAAATAAATCTGAAGATTCTTACATCTTTTGATGCCCGTCGCTTAAGGTAAAGGTACCAGTAGTTGACCACTTAAGAGAAATCCTCCACGCGAACAATAGTAACCACTTGCTCTGTGATTAAATAGCGAGAGTCTTTATAATATCACGCACATGGTTACTTTAAACAGTGGACACTGGACGGAGTCAATAATTGACCGTGGATCAGTCAATACGATACGACCATACGGTCATCTACTAAAACGCAGTATGCTACAAAATTTGGAACTATATTTTGTACTTCTAACAAAGTTAAATGCAAAATGGATACATTATAAATCGTAAACAAATTTAAATAACTCACGTCAGTAATTGACCACGCCTGTCAACTTCTAAAAACTATTAGAATAACAAGATTCAGAATTTGACCCCCCAATAAACTATTGCTCTTTGTGGTTAAAATAACAAAAACGTTGCATTTATCACTTAGAAAACGCTGTGAGAATTTAAAAAGTAAATAATTCAGTCACGAAGAGTTCGCAACGCGTGGATTTGTTTGCCTGAACAGTACAGCTGCTTTTAACAGAAACGTTAAGGAAATAGCAATATAGAGGCTATTACTTACCTTAATGGATTTAGACGTCCGTTGTTACTACGCATACTTCTCGTCACATGTAATCTCTTTGAAATTTAACCGATAGATGGTCTTGGCATGTCAGGTGCATTTTTTTCAAAAGAGTATCACTTATAAAAACCTTATTTTTTACGTTTCTCTAAAAATTGGTCAACTGCTGGTACATGGTCAACTACTGATACCTTTACCTTATTTCTCCATCAACCCATTTCGATGAAGTTTCCAGCATGTGTATAACTGACATAAATCTACAAAACGTATTTTTTAAATTTTCGCCAAGACTCAGATAAAAAAGTTGTTAAGTATGACCTTTACAATTTTCTACGTGATTTCCACTAATTGCAATTTTTTCAAAATTTTTTAGACACGTCATCTAGTATACCAATCCTTCTAACTACTGAAAAAGAACTCAAGTCGTTAGGTCCAATTTTTAAAAAGTCATACTGTTCTAAAGAGTGTCCGAATATTAGTGGGAGTCACTGTACAGTAGGTACATGAAATGTAATACAAATTAAATTCCACCGACAACGCTTTTTGGGTCAAATTTAATTCATACAAAATTCAAAAATCACAAATTTAGAATTTATGTTCTTTTCTTTTTGGATCGCGTTGTACGAGGGCAGTAGCAATTTTTTGATCGCGTTATACGGGGCCCTACTGTATACAGGGTGTCCCGTAACTCCTCGAACACCCGGAAATGGGGGGTTGCTGGGGTGATTCTGAACAACTTTTTCCTTTACCAAAATGTTGTTTGAAGCTTCATTTTTGAATTATTAACGAAAAACACTGGCCAATCAGAGCGCGCGTAGAGCCCGCGCCCAGGCACGGGAGCGCTGACTTCAATCCGCGCGCGATCGTGAACAAATGCGTACGCGTGACTTCTCGGTTATCGATCGCTGTCAAAAAATTTTGACTTTGCACCGCTATTTTTATAGGGCTTAGAGAAATGGTTTTTTGCCGTCATTCCCACGTTTGTATAAATTTTTGAAAAAATTGCAATTAGTCGGAATCGCGCGCGAATGAGCCTCTGTTCCCTCGTCCCTGAGCGCGGGCTCTACGCGTGCTCTGATTGGCCGGGGATTTCCGGGTGTTCGAGGAGTTACGGGACACCCTGTATATTATTCAAGACAGATCGTATTTGCTAAGTAAAAAAAGTAATTATGGCCGTTATGAGAACAATATCCAGACAAAATTAAAAGCGAATACATATCAGGTATAAACACATGCACATGACAAGTAAATTAGATTTCTGCTCGCACGTGTATACTCACACTTGATTAAAACTTCATTTCATGAAATTAGACAGTACATGTAATTTTCGTAGGATAACTTCAATATAAAGCATCGTATAACAACGTTTATCTTCCTATGCCAACATGTCATTACTATCGTGACACTCTATTATAATATTATCATACAACGTTTAATGTATATCGTGATGTTATTATAAGTAGACTGCGAATATTCATCGAAATGCATAATTTTATAGGAAATTGGCAATAAAGTAAAATCTGGATTTTGTTTTGCCTTTAGAGGGTTTTCACAGTAGAACTACTGGAACTGTCGTTACAAACGATAATACTTACCAGTATGGAACATTCACTTTTTTCGAAAAATTGCTAATGGGTCATTTTTACTCGGCTAATCGTTCTAATGTTAATCGTGTACAATTTATTTTGCATATTTTATGTTTTGCATTTTTTTTTAAACATATGTAAAAGTATATTGCATATTTATGTATACGCTTATATTATTATGTAGCATACATCATATATTTCCGCTTATGAATTAGTTTCAACTGATAAACGTCGTCAATTAACTAAGATTGATATTGCGATCGTAATGTCTAAAAGGTTCCGTTATTACGACATATTTTCAATATACTTATTACATATTCCAAAATACTTTTCGCATATGTTCAGATATTATGAAATTTTCATATTTCACATATTTTATTTGCACAATTCGACATATTTTAAGTGCATAAACATCCGCAGTCTAATTATAAAGTATGCTTAAGTTTCCTAGTTGCTTAAAATTTTCATCAGGCAAATGTAGTATGTTTATTATTGTTTCGGCTAGTTTTGTAATGTAGCCACAACATATGTACGCACCCAATGAGACAGGAATAGATGCTAATTAAGTAGAGCAGGCTAATACACCCATCAAACTTTCCCTATTCTGTCTAGACACGTGTTTATCTATCATGGGGTTAAATTTTAACGTAGTAGTATTATTAGTTCAGCTAAAGAGACCACTTTTGATGACCTAGGGATGTGTAAACAAAGAATGGACACGGCCTGCCGAGGAACTATTCACTGATCATTAATGAAAAATATAGAAAGAACAGAATAGAGCAGAATATAGCAAAGAACAAGAATAATACAATACATACAACGACGAATGAAAAGGAAAGGAAGGAACAGAAACAGAAACATACAAGAAAATTATTGTACAAAAGACAATAACCAGCAAATTGCTATTATTAACTTAAGTGTATCTCGAATAGTAATCTTGAATATCTCAAATGGCAAATTATTGTTATGCAATCATACATTAAAGGACTCGTACAGAGATTTGTTTGTCGTTATTTTTACGTAAAATTCAACGTTAATACTTTGATGATACTTTCATTATTGTTTCTAAAATTTAAATTAAATTCATTTAAAGTTTTCTTTGTAAATGAAATGAACACTACATCTTCATTTGATATCTCAAAAAAAGTGCAAACTGAAAAGAATCGGTTAAATAGGTAGAAATCTAGGTTTTTGTTATTGTATTGTTTATTTACAGTCTGTAACAAAAGCTCATTGTCCATTTATGGTGTGCGTTTTTCGATAGAACTACAATATATTTTCGTTTTAAATGAGAAACAATTCCTCTTCCGCAACATCACAGTTTTACAGTGGGCAATAATAATTATCGTGGAATAAAAGATAAAATAATCCTTTTTAATATTTTTTCCTACGATTTATATTTTCTTGAGAACGTATTTTTGCAATAACGTAAAAATGAAAGGTACAAAATCGCTCGATATTGATATATCGATACATGTATCTGATATGCCGCCTTAAGTTTTCCCTCAAAATGTTGCTTTCGGATTAACTTTTAATTAGAAACAATGCTTGAAGTGTAATACACTGGATTTACCGGCTGTATTCTAAGTACCATATAATCAGTATATCAGATTAATAAGCTAAAACAAATGAACACATACATGTATGTATAATCATCATGGCATAGGAACACATTATATGTACATATATATGAATTGATCAGTATTCAACATCATCGTGAATAAAAAGCTCGCATGCGACATTAATAAATAGATAAAAAGGATCGGCACACAATTACATTTGGATTATACTTTTGTATCAGATTGTTCTGAGTTTATTAAAAAATACATCATTCACGTCTGACCTTCCCAACGACTGAAAAGTCGGAATGACGACAACTCTCAAGCAAGCGAGCGTGTACCGTTCGAATTTCACGCAGCAATCGAGCCGATTGGTCAGAATTTGTAGTACTGTCCAATCCGAGTAGCATGTATGTGTGACGTCACGAGCCAGTATATAACACGACGCGCGCAGTCGTTCTAGTCAGACCTCAGTTAGCTTTGAAATGAGTGTAACGAGGTAGTCTTTCGGTGTGAGTTCTGGCAGCTCCGCGCGCCCTACGGCACTGAGAGAAGCCGGTTAGTGGTTTTTCTTTGGTTCAAAAGCAAAGAATAAAATACTTTGCAATTCGTTATTCTAATCTGGTGTTGCGTTTAAATATCAAGAATTTCTCAAGTTAATCATCACACCCGTCGCCGTTTGTTGAGTGAGCGTACGAGAACAAACAGCTGGACACAAATTATACATAATGTTTCATCAATAGTAACACAGTTGTTAAAAAGTGGGCTAGAATTGGTTCCGAGATACCCCAAATGAATTTTTCCATATTTGGTGCTTATTAATTAAATCGAAGAATTAAAAAGACGTTCTAAGTCAAGAATTCGTTCTCATGCGATACATGGTTCGTGTATGACGAAGGTCTTGCGAAACCATGCTGGAATAGAACTTACAAGAAAGAGAGGAAGAGAGAGAGAGAGAGAGAGAGAGAGAGAATAAAGACTGACAAAGAGAAAATTCTCTGAAGAATTGTATTTATTTTACGCACACATTCTTCTATAATTTGGTGGTTTACTGTTTTCTTCTCTGTAGAAGCCGTTGAATTTCTTAATCCGCTCGAAAGTTCTGACGTAAACAGAAACATTAATAAACGCAAACATTTGTTTGCAAGTTATCAACAAGAAATTCTCGAAGCTGTACCTGAAATAGAAGAGAAAAATGGTTGGAAGCAACGGGACTATGATCGCAATTCGCCTTGTCCGTAGTAAGCTGCGGAAACGAGAAGATCATACGAATACGGTACATCCAGATGCAGCCGTAGTGCAGACAGCAACGTCGCCGGTTTCGACGATTGTCGCACAGTCTTATCCTGTCGAAGGTTGTACACAGACGTCAATGACTACAGCTACAGATCTGGGAAATAGCACAGCTGTAGAACAGGATAACAATGTGTATACTATGGCCAATACGACAGATCAATTCGTCTGGCAGTTTCCGCCTCCTTATCCACCGCCGCACACACCGACACAGTATGCGTTGTACAACGACCAGGTTGGTAAACCGTTTTCTTACTTCCTTATTTTTTCTCCTTTATCTTATATTTTCTTTCCTTCGAGTTTGTAATCCTCAAAGAAATAAGAATTAGAGTTTCTCGCTTCTGGTTTCGCCCATATTCCTTTTTACCAGTAACCACTAACCAGTAGAGCCAGTATTACCAGATTTTACTGGTTTACTCTATACTTCCCAGGATTACTTGATCATTTTAGTGGCTGTTGATCGTACTTCACTTAATAAAATATTCATTTCTCTAGGGAATTACTTTTGTGCATGTAAAAAGTTGCTCAAATCAATAATTCTTCTTTTTGTAAAATGAAACGAGACGAATCTTCTGCAAGATAATATTTTATTAAGTGAAAAACAAGCCAATTTCATGATTAAAGTATTGGTAACCCTAATGCCAGTTTTGAAGAATAATGGAAAACAGTTTGAAAGATGAATACTTCAACCACACTGTTCTAACTATATCACACTTGCTCTCTA